ATTTCGTGGATATTTAACCTTTCACTTATACAAACGGAAAAAGTTTCAGCATTCACTTAAATCCTATTTTTATTTCTTACAATAATTAAATGGCTGAAACAGATTAGAAGGGTGGAACAAGAAGAGTGGTATAGGCAGGGTACTGGAGGCATTTAAGAAACAGCTTGATGATGGTGCCAAGAATTCAATGGAATTTATTGATTTCAACTTCCCATTGACTTGAAATCTCATTGAGTGATCAACAATCACAATCCTTCTCCTCATCCACCTCTGGTAATGAACATCCTTCACAGTATATACAAATTTATGTTTTTTTACTCTGCATTCACAAGGTTGATTTGGATGAAGAAGGTCAGAAAAACCTCCGTCTCTGTTTTTAAAACGAGTCCAGTGTCCAGTGTCCACCTTGGACGCTCAATTACCCTTCCTGGCAACCTTCCTGTTCTCAGGTTTGTCTACATTAAAATCCACCTATCCAGTGGCCCAAATCTTCTTGAATGCTATTTATCTTCCTTGTGTTAGTCAACCACCCACATTGCTTGGCATAATCAGCAAATTTTATATACTAGCTGTACCCATCACAGCTATGCTTGCAACCAAAGGATCCAATGTGGAATGTAGATTTCAGTATTGTTATACTTTATATGAGATTATTATACATTATATGCAATTATTATACTTTAGATAACGATAAGAGATCCCCCCCAAAATATGCCCCTGGTTTTCTCTGTCACTACTTTGTTTTAAAATATATTAGTACAGATATGTCTCTCTAGAATGGTGTGTGATTTCCTCTATTGCTACTTTGTTGCATGAATACCTCATATTTTGGGGCTTAATTGAAGCATCTTTTAAATATAGCTCATCAACAATAGGAGATCCCCGAAAAACATACGCCCTAGACACTCGGGCACCAAGACCTTTCCGATGAGAGATTGGGAAGATTGCAGTTATATTGCTTTTGTTCTAAGTTCTCCTCACTGGCGTATTCGTCACTGCTTCTGGTCTGGTCTCCTCTTGCTGGGGTCCAGGTTCCACAGATGCTAGTTGTCCTTTGGTACCCTGCCCAAGTGGTCATTGCTTCTAATTGGGGATGAGTGCTAACAGGGCACTTGACGATAGAGGGTATCACAGCCGAACCTGACCTCCAGTCACCTGACTGCTACACATGAACACAACCAGCAGAGGGGGGGGGAAAAAAATCCTGGCTGGCCTTCCCGTCCCTAACCCTGGAAAGGCTGGGGTATTTGGATTTTTGGATTAAGAGATCTGCCAAGGCATAATAAACTGGTGGAATAGGAACCATAGGCCAAATAGCCTGTTCCTATGTTACGAATGACTGACCCCAGTGCCATACTTTACTAAATGACCATTTCTATTACACACTCACTGATACCATAGACTAGCCTCTTTACTATTGCATTACTTGGTGCTATGAAGAAACTGCTGCTTGGAGGGGCTCGTAAAACAGCAGGTCTTCTATTCTATGAAACTGCAAAGTGGAAAAAAGAATGTTACTTCTAACACTTCAATGGAATAACCTAGATTGTCTCAACTCCCACTGCATTAAAATTGGCCGCTGATGTTGAGTTCATGTTTTATGTAAGGCAACAGTTTGAATGCTATTTGGAAGTTATATAACAATAATAATCCTTGCATTTGATATAGCGCCTTTCACATTGGGACAAAGTCTCACAACTTTTCACAGGGTGAAATGACAATTTTTTTATCCTGAGTGACTGATGGTCAGGATACTAGAAGAAATTATTCCCTCTTTTTGAATAATGCAATGGGGTCTTTAACATTCATCTGAACAGGCAGATAGGACCTCGGTCTGGCGTCTCATCCAAAGAACACCGTTGGCAAAGCAGCGCCCTGCACTGGAGTGTCAGCCCAGATTGTGAGCTCAACCCACAACCTTCTGACTCAGAGGCAAGAGTGCTACCCACTAAGGGTAACTGACACCTTATGGCTTCAACTAAAATTGGAATAAAAAAATGTTTCGTCTTTTAGGCACTCCTAAGAAATTATGTCAACCTGTTGATGATGAAATTTAATAAGGAAACTAATTGCTGTGCTGAGTGTACACGTCCAAGTATATTTGAGGGATAATTAAGTTGATTAATAAATAAGTCTTGGATTTATTTTAATGCTTCCATGTGTTTTCAATCACTGGCAATGTGTGGCGTGTCAGTTTTATGAATAAACTGGGGAAATATCTAACAGATTTAACCAAATATCTCTGCAAAATTTAACATTCTTTGCAGATTTCTGCTGACTCCTTTGATGATATGTAAGTTTGGAAATCTGAGTTTTGTTTGCATTTCACATTAGTGTAATAACAGTCCTTAATCCTTAACCTGCTTGCATGCCACCTTAAACCTCTTGCATCATATTTTAAGATGACTCCGAAAACTAGTCATAAATCATAAAGATCGCCAGTGACTATTTTATTTCTTAATTGTTTTGACACTAATTTTATTCCATATTTGAATATAATATTGCCTCTATCATAAAAGCATGCTCTTACTAGTTACCTATACATAAACAAAGCTGCTGTTTTATGTCCAGATATAACATACTCAGTTACAATACATAGTGTTACACTACATAACAGATTAAGAGTTAGCTATAGAAAAACAGTTTAGATTACATCACATAGTGTGCTGCTTATTTTTTTACAGAACAGTTTATTAATCTTGAACCCATTGTGCATTCTGCATTTAGAACTTTCTCTGAAGTGGAATAAAAGGTTAAACCATTTATTGCAGGTTATCTGTTCAAAACTGGTTTTGCAACACTTTACTATTTATTAGACATACTTTTTCATGAGTTTTTACTGCTTAAACTGTGGGAATTTGCCTTAGAAATGTTGACAAAATTGGTACCCTAATAGTGCCTTTCAGCAAATTGCTCAGCAAGTGTACACTAATAGGATGCAGCGACATGCATGAGTTCTGCACTATCCATAGGTTATGGTTTAATGTAAGGTGCACTCTCACACAAACATCAGTGATATTTGGTCATATAGTCCTGTATTTTAACTTAGATTAGAGCAATCTATTCAAGGATTTTACTTTTAACTCTAATTTCTTGATATGCCACTAAGAATGGCATTTAGTTTCCAGTCAGCTACTTTATGTGTTTCATTGCCAAGCATCAGTTGTTGTGCAGAATGATAACCCCTAAACCTTTTATATTCTGAAAAAGAAACACTGAACATTCTGGAGCTGCAGGTAAAAAGATGCAGCTAAAAGGATTCACCCCCCCACCCCGGATGAAATGGACTTGGATATTGAAGATGTATGAGTGGGCGTGATTAAATAGCAAACGACCAGAGGCTTGAACAGATTTTAAAAGGATTTAACTATTCGGAGGGAGAAGTCAGAATATGTCAGCCAGAATTTGCTCTGCAATCCCAGAGGATTGAACCTTCTGTCATGTTATCGTGGTATATTTAAATTAAATAAAATATTTTCTCAGATTGTGCACGCGTGTGCCGTGTTTCGTGATTTTGCCATTTTACTAATATCGCACATCAGACACCTCCCGGTATGTCCAAATTATTTTGATCTCGTCCTTTCAGAATACACACCTTATCATCATCCCATTACAACATCACAGGCCTCTACCATCCTTCCTCGTAACCCATTCACAACCATTAATTAAATATTTTTGGCAGAAAAATAAGCAGCATTGAGCTCTATACAATGCCTATGTTGTTACTTTACATTATTTCCACATCCCCAGCCACTTCCCTCCAAGTTTAAGACAACTCCAGATGGTGGCATTAAGAAGAGACAGAAATTCCTCTGGTCCTAGAATTAGACTATGTTCTTAACATTTCAATGTTTAAAAATTCTTAAATAGTCTTCACTAGGGAGCTGGTTTTTCATAGGTCTTAAAAGATATGTGGAAAAAATGGCTCCAAAATTAAGACTGTATTTAAGAATTTTCCAAATTATCTACCATTAAAACATTAAGAATATAGTCTAAATTTAGAATCAGGTGGAATTTCTGAGCCCAGGGCACTGATTTAATTTAACAGGCTTGATGATGTCATGTCAATATGGTACCATTAATATTCTGGAAGGACGAGATCAAATAGGGAGAACGGCCTCCGTCTTCATCCGAACCTTTCTTGTGATCTGTAGCACAGCACAGAAATCACAAGGTAACTTCCACGATAAATCCCCCTGAGACTGGCACATGAAATCTCAGATATTAGCAAGTAATATCTGCAGGGAGCATATCCAGTCAGTGGAGAAAAAACAGCAACCTTTTTTTCCTAAGTACTTTTACAACATATTTTTACTTCAAAGGGATCTCCTCCTAATCAATAAAACATGAGGTTCAGTTTTCCAAAGAAAAATCAAGCTTCTTTCAGTTTATAACTTAATAGCTAAAACACAAACAGAAAATTTCCCTCATAAAATGAACTGCAAAGTAACCTGATCACTGGCTGTTGTTGGGGATGGAATTCATTCAGTATCAAAAACTGGTTTCATGTACTTGCTCTTAATTAGCAAATGTTAATACTATGGTTTTGTTGTAGTAATGAAAACACCAACCTTAACTGATGGCAAAACTATACAGGTTTGTTGTAGCAATCAAATTAACAGGATAGACATACTTCAATTCAAAGAACAAGATACAAGTAAAACACTGAAATGAAGGTGTGTGGGGAGCACAAGTACTGTTGGTACATTCACCCCTACTTATAAATATATATAAAAACATAAATTAAGAAATGGAAAAAATAACATGATATATTTATAGCAAGCTTTTGCTCCAGCAACATACTGTATTATGAATAAATGTACAGCACCTAATGGTTTTACGATTGCAACCATCATATGAGAATTAGAAACCTGCTCCAATAGCAAATACAATTTGTAGTTGCATTACTGTACATATTACTTTTTATAAGCAGGATTTTATTTTAATTAAAACAAGTCACTGAATAATTCACAGGGGAAATAAAAAGGTGAGCAACCTACCAGGAGGAACCGAGTAAATTCTTGGTATGTAAGGCGCTTTTGTCTTTGCTTCCCAAAATACAGCTCCACAAACTCAGAATTCCAGTTAAATGGAATATGCTGGTGTATAACGGTCTGGCCGAATATTTGCTTGACGTCATCTAGGCATTATTATGGTGAAAGATACAGAGTAGGAATTAGAAAGAGAGAAAAAAAATGCTCATGCTACCTGTAATTGAAGACAGAAAAACATTTCCATCAACATCCTAAGGCATGGAATTAATATGAATTTGACTCCTAAGTAACTTGAGGTCAAATGCTTGTCAGACTAAACTCGCTCTTCGGTGATATTCATATGCCATGACTTAGGTTAACTGTTTGTAGTGAGTAACCGATCAAGTGCCTAGTTTAACAATAACTACCCTCCAGTCTTACTGCAGAAATATCGTGCTATGCCAATTCTCATTGAGACATCAAAAGTATTTGGAGGTTGCTGGGGACATCTAACATATGTTTTAGTAAAATTATATTTCAGAAAGATCCAATATTTGCACAACAGAAATTAACCACTGAACACAACCTGTCATAAACCTTAATAGAACAGACCTTTTTGAACTTTCAAAACCAAGGTATTAAGAAAAAATTCTGTTCACAGAATTTTTACTTGTACACAGTGTAAGTAATGGAAGCTATAAGGAACTTGCCCGACAATCAGTACAAGCTGAACACTTTTCTCTGCTTTACTTCAATTTTACTGAATGAATGCATCCTCTGTGTAAATTATTTCAAAATTCCCATTGTTAAAAACAAATTACAGCAGATTTTTAAGTAAAATTTTACACAGAATTGTTAATTGGAATTTGGAACCACATTATTTAATAAATCTATATATTCTTCACAATATTTAAATAATAAACTTTCTCCCAAAAGTTGAGAGAACTGAAATGTTTTGATGAATTAAATTTTTTTCTTAAAAAGTACCATTTTATTTTAAACCGTTTTCCTTGAATTTAAACCACACACCTTGTGACACCCTCCATATTTGAAAGACTCGATATAAATGTAAACCTATTGTTGTAAACCAATACAAAGATCTGAAACACAAAGAGTACCAGGATTTCTAGACCCCAAAGAAATGTATGGAGTCAGTTGCATCTGTATCTTTCTGCAATCAGGATAGGAACAGAAACAGCTCTTGCGTTAACAAGCATTGAATGTAATACCAGGAACAGGGAACACCACTAAATCATTTAAACCCTACGGACTTGCATTATCGGCTTTTATGTACCTGTCAACACTTAATAGCAAGCACTAAGATCTTATAGTACTTCTGTCTCGCAGGTGCAAGAACATGTCAAACCTGCTTTCAGGATCAAGTTCTGTTTTGCATTAACCTTCAGAGTACAGTAACCTTATTGCAATATGTTGTTCCATGCCAGAGAGACCATGAATGGCACTAGTTAGTTCATGTACAGCAGTGGTGGCCAACCTTTATGGTCAGCCAACAAAGTAAATTTTATTGATTGAATATATCTTGATTTATGAAAGCAAAAAAAATCCACAACTTTTGGTTTTATCCTTACTTTTTCAGCGAACATTTAATTAGTCAAGGGCTTAGATAGATCGGAAGGTTTACACAAGTGACAAAAAAAAATTACACTTGTAAAGTGCCTTTCACTTCGGAAGGACATGAAGTAAAGCTAAAGTAGACAATTTGACTAACTGCAGATTAAACCTGGAATTCTTTAGATCAGGGATTCTCAAACTTTTTCATAGTGAACCTCCCTAAAATAAGAATAAACAAACAATTGTTTGTTAAACCACATAGTTTATTAAGACAACACAAAGAATTAAACATTATTTACTTTATACCAATAGGAATAATAAAGTAGAAGAACTTTGATCAGTATAGTTATGAGTATGAGTGTCAAACGTGCACATTCTATTTCATAAAGCACGGTTCTGTTCAAAAAGTTCATCTCTTATTGTCAGAAAACAATCCATTGATTGTCGGTGGATTGATCCATTGAGGATTGATTGACATGCAGCCAACAGAGCCCCACACCCTGTTTGCGCCTGACACAGTTCAGGTGACTCCACTATTGGTTGCCGTACACATCAAGGAGAGTGACTGTCACACCCTGTCAATCAATCATCGTCCTTCCCCCCACACCCATCCCCTGTTGTCACAGGGATTGTAATGGTGGGAAGCATTGTTTGCAGGGTTTGATTGTTGGGGAGTGGCTTTTCTGCGCTGTGGGGCAAGTGACCACTGCTGGGAAGTATGCAACTAGCTCCTCTCATGGCACACACCCTCACATCCCCAAGTTTGAGAGTCTCTGCACTTGATCATAATTTACACAACAGCAAAGTCTGGGAAGGAACAGGGGGAGCTGGATTTTGTGAACATAATCTGTATACAGGCAGTGCTGAATGAGTTAGAATTGAATTCAACCCAAAAAGTAAACAATGACTATTTTTATGCAATTTACAAGCAAGTCAGCAGCACAACTAACAGGCAATTGGCACTGAAACGGACAAGTAATCAGCTAAAAGTGACATAGTTCCATCAGAGAAACACAACATGAATGTGCAACTACTGATTAGCATCTAAAAAGATTTAAAGCAAGTGACATCAGGCCCCGCTCATTACACGTTTCTTTGTTATTACCTGTCCCTCATTTAACTAAACTAAATCATGCCTATTTCACTTATATCTGCCAAAATGTAATTGCAGGTCTGGAGGAGGTCTTGGTAATAGTAATTTAAACATGCTTGTGCCAGCAAGTACATGAACTGATTACTGATGATGTAATTACTTCAGCATTCCAAATTAACTGCAATCCAACTGGCTTCCCAAGTAATACAACACGACACTAGGGTTTTCAGTGGTCCAGCGGCGTCAGGGAAAACAATGAACTAACTACACACTTCTGGTGAGGGAAGTACGAGGAAGGACTGACCAGGAAAGTGTTTATAAAGGCAGATTTAAAGGCAGTTTTGCTTCAGTTGCATTGATACTGAGCTGGATTTTTTTGGGGGGCGGGAGGGTCACCCAGAAAGCACAAGAGCATGGCTTGATTGTATGTTGAGGTACTGCTGGTTTTAATCAGCTCAAACTTTATAGCTTGCCATTCAAACCAATGTCTGGCAAGCATCTCACTGCTTATTCAAGTAGGACCACCCTACTCATTTGGACTTCAGCCTCAGGGTTAACAGGAGCTGAGTGGGAAGTATCACTGCACCCAGTGATTCGCATGCCCTTCCAAGTCTTGTGGATGAGACAGGTGGTTCAACTGTCAACAACAACAACAACAAGATTCCATTTATAAAGCGCCTTTCACGTCAGGAGGACGTCCCAAGACGTCCCAACAGCAGTGACCTGGAATACTGTGGTCTGAACTAGCTTGGGAACCAGAAGACCTAGGTGGAAGATAGGTACCAGGAACTCCTTATGAAATGCATGAGAGCATTGAACCATCCTCCTGCCACAGTTCAGACATCCAACAAAGTGCAGGTTTCAGTTCTCACTTCGTGGATGGCAGGAACTAGGAGCTCCCAGTGAAATTCCTGATGAGTAGCACAGCTCTGAATGAAATGAGCGAGAGCATTGCCACCATCTTCCTGCTTGGACACACATGCCTTCCCATTGAGCCATGGTTACACATGTTGGAGAAGAGTTTCAGCAGCAGCCTCTGCAAACCAATTAAAGTGGATATCAAGCCCTGGATACATGAACTTGTGTTCATGAACGCCAGGTAATTCATTGGGATGACAGCAGCTGAATTGAGATGACAGCCAGCCACCCAATGTCGCGTACCCATTTTATTCAGCACCAGCTGCTTAATCCAGTTCCTCATGTGGGGGCTTCAGCACCTCGAGCAGTGCAGAATCATAATACCGCACTCGGTGGCATCTACAATCATGTCCAACTGAGTGTCCGTGTTCAAATGCTGAGTGCAGCACATGAGACCCCTAGGTGAGCCCAGCAGCAAAATATCGTCCACAAACAGAAGTGCTGCAATCCTGTCAGGAATGTTTGGAACATATATACAAAGTCCGTCCCCCCCAACGCCATCTAATAAATCATTGATGAACACATTGAATAAGAGGGATGACAGTGGGCAGCCTTGCTTTACCCCCTCTCGAGAGCAATCAGCTCAGTGTGTTTACCAGATCTCGTCGCTGGAATACACGTTCCATGACGTTAAGTTGTCTATCCCTGGTCTACATAATCTTGACAGGTTGTGAAAGTGTGGTCGCTTAGAAGGGTAGAGAATGAACCATTAGTAAAATAAAACTATTAATAAAATGGTCCATGGGCAGTAATCGTAGCTGGACAAGCAGCTGGAAGCTTGTCAGACAGTAATGGCAAGTAATTCAGCTTTAGCTGTTTTATCTCCAGCAGTACCCTAATGCACACTCTGGGGTCCCAAGCCTTGGCTCTTGTCAACCTGCGCTTTATGCTCCCTACAGGGAGATAATGCGAATTACATTCCAGATACAGGAAAACATCAATGCATGGGTGGAATACATATGAGGAACTCTGTCTGGTTTAGATACTGTTAAGCACATTAATGCATTTTTGCATGTGTCAGATACCGGCTGACCAAAAAGAAAAGTGACACTAGATTATGACTCTCCAAAAGAAGGGCAAACCAAATAGCAGCATTCTTATCATTCCAATTTGTCTTCTATCAAAAGGAATTGGAGCAAGTCTTGAAATCCAATGGTGCAATATCATAATGTTTCTCTAAATGTTTTGGAAACAATAAAAGTCAATGTTTCAGTTAACAGCAGAGGCCAGCAATTCCTCATTTAGAAAAATAACTACAGAAAAAAACAGAGGACTACACTTGCTGTTCTTACAAAAGATATGACTGTGCACCCTACAAAGTCTTTTCACTGTATGATACTATCAAAAAATCTTTTTGAAACTGAATGCTCTTGTAATGGTACTTACCAAATATGATGTCTCCTTTTCCCTTCTTGTCAAACAGTTGGAAAGCAACTTTGAACAAGGCATCTGGGGCACATAAAACATACTCAAATGCAAGGAAATCTTGAAAGGAGATCATCCTGTGTATGTAAAATAAACCAGGTTATTGTGTCACATGAACACTAAAGTAGAATTGAACTGGAGGCAAAGTCTTTCAATACAGCACTGCTTTACAGTCTGAGTGATTAACGTGGACGGGCGGGGGGAGAAGAAAAAGAGAGGGAACAATCTCATAGGACCTATAAAATGTTCAGGTACTTGGAATGGATACTAAGCTTTGCTTTTAAAAAAAACTTTTTATAGTGCTTATTGCAGCATTAACCTTGAAAAGTCAAATAAAACCAGTCATGATTTATGCAGAAAGCAGTCGTTGCTCAGTACTTGTGTACAGAATCCTTGCATATATGTTCCAATGCCCAAGACAGGAAACAAAAATGTCAATGTAATCAGCATTAGTATTTTCTGAAGATAATAATAATTCTTGCATTTGATATAGAGCCTTATCATGTCTTCGAGACATCTCAAAGCTTCACAGAATATACTGTAAAATGATTTGACTGTATATTTTGTGGGCAAAATGCAGCGGCTAATTGTGTCCTACAAACAATTGTCGATTGAGTGACTAAATTATTATTATTTTTTGAAGAGATTATTACCCCTGGAGAAGTGAAAAAACAAACTCTAAAGCACGCCCAACCACGAGTAATTTTGTAAAGTCAACACATACTGTAGTAAGCAACAAACCAGTGATCTTAACACAGTTTACTGGCATATCATTAAGAGATAAACCAAAAAATTGGTCTATTCACTGAAAGTAGTGAAAATGACAGAAAAAGAAATAGAATAAGAGAATACAATGGCAAGAACACAGTCCTCCAAAACAATTAATCTACCAAAATAGTACTGAGATATCTATCTTACAAAGTAATAACCCCGAATCCCTTTCATTTCTAAGAATTTGTGAAGTGCCTTTTGACTTCATTCGGAGATGCTACCCTACATGAAGGGTGCTTTGCAAATACAAGTGTTGGTTTTGACAGACTTCATACAATAGTTCCTTGCTATTTTTTCCCACAAACCTACCATTAACTGCAAATAATCTCCACAGAAGCCATTGTTCAACATTAATCCAACAGCCACTTCTGAGATGCTCACTGCAAGGATCAATGGATTTATTTGCCAAATCTGAACCGTATGAATGTTTGTGCTCATACTATTTGGTCCGTGCATGCAGGTCAAAGCAAAAGCAGGAAAGAGATATAGTGCATATACAGAAAACTCATTCACTTATTCCATACCTACAAATTTGACTAAAATAGTCACTACAATTGAAGGCAATTACCTGCTTAAAGTATTGTTTAAAAAAAATCACATTTTCTTACAATACTTAACTCCGAAACTCAGCTTGGTATCTTGGGCACTGAAGGCTATGGCGTGATCCTCGTTGTTGCTGAATAAAAATAAACTGTGATTTTAGTGGACAACCCAAAATGGCCTTTTTTTTCACAAAAAGAATCTTGAGCCCTGAAATGATGCAGCATATCTAGGATCAGTCTGTTTCCATAGTTGTAAACTGGAAGTGATTTAATGGAAGGAATCCAGAACCTTAGCAGGTGGGGCCTGGGTACTCTTAAATCCGAAATGCCATCTGGCTTTTTAAATAGTCACCGGACTATTCCGTTAGAAGCAGAAATGGCACCAGTCCTTCCCATTTCAAACTAGAACACTGCTGGACATTTAGAAAACATTACGAGCAATTCTCTGTAGGTTGTGGCATCTTACAATTTGTTAAAGTCTTGCAAACACATTTATTACAGAGAGATTTCTGTCACCTGAAACAATGCGACTATCAGATGCTGGGCAGATCTGAGCAATTTGGATACTGCTGTGCGCAATTGGCTGCCGAGTTTCTCCCACAAAATATAAAGTCCATTCACTTTACAGTATGTTCTGCGAAGCGCTTTGAGACGTCACAAAGATGTGATAAGGTGCCATATCAAAAGCAAGGATTATATTAAAGAGTTACTCCATCTTCTGAGATGTACTAGGAACTTGAGGAAAGACAGATAACAGTGCTGAAAACAGTACTCGTTGGGAAAACTGATGGATTGACATTGTAAAGTGCCATTTACACTGCAGACATGTGAGGTTTGATTGGATTACCACTGTCGTACTTAGTACTTTTTCTGTTTTACCAACCCTATTAATCTTCTTCTATACTAATAAAATGACAATGTCTGTCTGTGCTTCAAGAAGGATCTCAATAACTGATTGATGTAGAGACATGATTTATACCTCATCAGAAAGGTCTTGCATCTGGAAGTGACATGGGCATATTTGTTTTCGGGTATCTCCTAACGTTCTTGAGTTATGACCTAAAATATATTTTAGTCTTGGTTTTCTGCTGCAGTTATACCTGGTGGCCATCGAGTCAAAGTGGAGCTGTGGCATTGTGCAGTTACACCTGGTGGCCGAATCGGCTGGTGGTGGCACTGTGGCATTGTGCGTCACAGAGCACTCACGTAGCCAAGTGGTGGCGGGAACAAAATAAAGAACACAGACGAAGCTAAGCCATGGCAACAACAACAAAATTATATTTTTAAAGCGCCTTTCACGTCGGGAGGATGTCCCAGTAATTATAAATTATACATGCATAGTTATCATTATAAAGCTGCCTAAGTGAAAATCAAACCTTTAAATGATAAGTAAGTGCATCTGTCTGTGTGTCCATCTACATTCCATATTGGATCCTTTGGGTACAGCTAGTAGGATGATACCAGGGCTGGCAGACTACTGCTAACAGGACATAGGATAGGTTTGGCCTTTTCTCGTTACATATTTAAGAGAGGACCTAATAGAGGTGTTCAAAATTAAAAAGTGTTTGATAAGCTTAGCATAGAGACTGCTCCCACTACCCAGGTAACATAAATACGATAGTGACGAGGGAAACTAGAAGAGAATTTAGGAGGAATTACTTCACATAGAGGGTAATGAGAATATAGAAACATATAAAATTATACAATGGTCCTTCTGACCAATTCTCTTTCAAACCCTCAAATAGATTTCTTCCCAATGATGGGAGGCAATTTTTTTTTAAAAAGATTATAAATGGGCAATCATGGATAAGTGTAAAATGATTGAGTAGTGCTGAAAATGTAAACTTTAGTTTCTTTCCCTTCCCTCACATTACACCTCCCTTGTGTTGAAGTAAGGGTTCTAACAGTATTCTAGAATTATTTTTTCTGCTTTTACTTGCTTTTTTATTTTTAACCAGTGTGAAATTCCCACGATAACCACTGAAATTATCTCTTGAATGCGACCATTAATTTAGCTCTAATCTTTGGAGTGATGGGCTGAACGTCTTTCATCCAACCGTCTCATGATTATGTTGTAAATATCAGTTGGCAATTAATGTTGTAATAGATTATTTCAGTTTTTCGTGTGAAAAGTGACAAATGGCACATAAGCGATGTACAGGGATATAACACTGACAGTGCAAAATGACTACGTCAAAGATACGTAGTGTAGGAAGAGTAGGCAATGCAGCTCATTGAGTATGCTCCAGCAAGATGGATCAAAAATATCAGAACACAAAGTGTGATAATTTTAAAACCACACATTGCTTGCTCATAGCTGTTTTTTCAATAAACAATTTGTTCACGTTTCACTGCCGTCTTGTTACTCAGAATTCTTTCCTCCCTTCCCTAGTTTCGGGGCAAATGTATTGTTACAATAAACTGCTGAGTCAAACTCCATCATCTTCCATGCAAATTAACAACTTCCTAGAATTAGGATGACTTAAAAAGTTCAGCTGTCCGTACAGAGTTTGATCTTCAATGTTTTTTTAAAAAAGTGATCAATTTCTAGAAAAACAAATGTCTCGTAATTTGATCAGGATCCAGAACTCTTTTATTCATTTTCCATGGAAAGTTCAAAACCACTGTAAAATGATAAAATCTGGTACAGTTTCAGAAACAGGAAAGCATCACAAACAGGATGATTTAAAAGATATCCCTTGAGACATGATGAAAATTAGAACCACTGGGAGTGCAGACAAGAACGAAATAACTTCAGACAAAGGAAAGAAACAAGATTTGACAAGTAAATAATTCCAAATGCCAGTTCCAAATATTCTGCAAATGTTTTCAGCTAGTACAGAAAAAAATTAAATCAACCTTGAATTAAGCACACCAGTAGCAATAATACTTGGTGATTGGTTAAAATATTAATACTTCTAGATTTTTTTTTGCCCTCAGCAGATGTAAAACCAATGTGCAATTATCAATTCTTAGTTTCCAAGGACCAAGTAAAACCAATTGACATCGCCTGATCAAGACAATATTTTCCATCTTTTTCCATGAGTAACTAAATTTTGGGGGGTTAGAAATAATTTTACTAGACATCTGTCTCTATCTAGAAGCAATGTGATCACCACAAAAACTACAATGTGGAAAATTGATCTTTAGGATGACCTCCAGTTTAAGCTAAATTTCATCTCCTTTACCAGCTGAATGCAGATCACGTGACTTTCAACAAGCAGATTAAATCGGAATGGATTATCATTTTTGTAGTCTTGTGCTCCACTAATTCACAAGTAAACTATTAGGTTGTTTTTAAATTCTAAAACAGATCGCTCAATTGCAACAGGCTTATATCACAGACAATAACCTGCTTAAAAAAAAGCAAAGGAATTTCACACCTAATTTCAGCTTCAATTCACGTGGAAGAATCACAGCAATTTCACCAGGTAAAACACACAGAACGAGATTCCACAGAAATAAAATTTATAACTGATATGCAATATTATATGATTACCCAAATCACAGTCAACATATGGAGTCCTGGAACTTAGTGATTAGAGCATTTGCCTCGCAAGCGAGAGAACCTGGGTTTGATTCGCAGGCGGGGCGAGTTTCCTTACTCCACACGCCTCTGTTCACCTAGCAGTTAGCAGGAACTCGGTTGTTAGTCAATTGGTGGATCACTTTTCCGGGGGTAATAATCCCTTCAAAAATTTTAAAAAATGATTTGGTCAATCAATCCATGACTGTTCACAGGACACTGGTGTGCGCAATTTGCT